CTCACAGATTGAACCATGAAATAACCTCTGGGCTGATCAAAGTCAGGGCATGGCTATCTCACAGATTGAACCATGAAATAACCTCTGGGCTGATCTAAGTCAGGGCATGGCTTACTCACAGATCAAACCCTGAAACAACCTCTGGGCTAATCTAAAATGTTGTTTATTAAAGGCAGAGAGGATTGCTTCACAGATGATCACTGAGAGTAGAATGACAGGATCCATTGATCAGATCGATGGTATTGTCCATTTTGAAGGTCAGTTTATTCATCTTATAATACACTCCAGGGCATACCCAGAGGGGTAACCGCATATCCCTATATCTATCTACTACTGTTCAGTATAGATGTTTTTGAAACTCCTTCCTGTTACTCAGTTAATTTGGCTTTTTTGATTCTGTCAATTAAGGATATATTAACTCAAAAAATAAAAACAACAGAGAAGACATACCTGGTCTGTCGTTGTCTGGGTCATACAGTAATAACACAAAAAGAGCTTTGACATTTACTTTACTTCGTTATCCATTGAAATTGGCCAATATTTATCAAAATTTTCACATTGGTGTGACTACTTCAGATTTTCCAAGTGAATAGTTCCTTCCCAGTTCCCTGCGCCATCTTGAAAGGTAGCCGTGCCTTTGCATTAACGAGAGTTGAACGGTGAGCTTGCAATGATAGAGACCTTTCTTAACACCTTGGACAATTATTCACATGTCTATCATTGCAAGCTCACCGTTCGTCTCGCTTCGATGCAAAGGCACGGCTACCTTTCAAGTTGGCACAGGGAAGTGTGAAAGGGACTATTTGAATATTTTCTAGTCTGGTAGACCTACAAGTCATGTACCTGTTTACTCTCTTCTTTGCTTGACTACCTCCTTTATCTCTACCATGAGTTTTATCTTCATATTCACGAAGATTTTTTTTTGGGGGGGGGGGGGGATATGAGTGTAAATTTGAACATTTTCTAGTCTAGCTGACATAGTCGCTATTAAGCTCAACCTTTTTAAATCAGCTTTTTTTATACTCTATTTGTTCTACTATTTTTCTCGCTGTTTGCGGGTGTAGCTTTATATTTATTGTTTTGAACAGGTCTTTCAACATTCACGACACAACACAAATATTTAATAAATATTGTTTTGTTACTTTTGTGGTGCTTTGTCGGATTTTATCGCTGCCTTAGTCTTCAACGTTGCTGTTTATTAACTCATACCACAATATATTCTTTGTAATGAAATAAAATATGAAATATTTTGAATAGGAAATCTGCGGTACCGTGACATCAGAAGGTTCCCCGCACATTTCCGTCACCTGCGTGATATTTTTAAAGGCTTCATGCTACAGTATACCCGTAACTAAATCACTGTCCGATACGGCACAACATTCAAATGGCTTTTCGAAGCGCCATATCGTGACACCGAAATGGCTTCCAACTATGGCATGCATACCGTAACATCAAAATGATATCCCGATACGGTGTAACATTAAAATGTCGTGACTTCGAAAGGGCTTCCCGCACGTTTCCGTGACATTCAAAAGGCTTCCCAGTACGGTATACCCGTGAAATCACTTCCAGGTACGGCACAACATTCAAATGGCTTTACGATGCGTCATATGGTGACATTGAAATGGCTTCTCATTGTTTTCGTACGCACGGTTCATCCAATTAAAAGTTATGGTAGCCTACTGGTGGGATGTGCGGGTAAAGTCATCAAATGATCATAATAAAAACAGTTCTCTTGATAGCATCACATATTGAAAAGAGTTCAAATCTAGCACCTGTATAGAGAAGGGCGAGATCACGCAACATACGAGGATTTTGCCTCTTCTCGCCTCTGCCATATGATCGGCCAATCAGAACGATTTAAGCAGATTTTTCAGTTGCCTCCCCGTCCATCCCCACCTCCAAGAATAAAGAAAGATATCCGAGCAGCATGTCGTCTATCTCATTTAATCCTAAAAACCTCCCTCCCTCCCTTCCTTTCTTTCTTTTCTTTCTTTCTTTTAGGAAGACTGAAATATTTCTTTTGTTTTCATCCAAGAATTCACTATTCCTTAGCTATTTCAGTCTAGATTTGTAATTCTATTCCCGATACTTAATCAATCGGTACCAGCTTCAAAGAGAAGCGGCACGACATTTCCGGGTTGAGTTGCACAATTTTTTTTAACCAACAGACTGTAACCACCAACTGTTAAAAAAGCTATTCCTTAGTTTTTTTAGTCTATATTCTTTATTCTATTCCTGATACTTAATCAGCTGCCGGGTACCAGCTTCAAAGAGAAGCGACGCGACATTTCCGGGTTGAGTTGCGCAAAATTTTTTTCAATCAACTCAAAACCAGCAGACTGTCTAAGCCACCTACTGTTAAAGAATATATTCATGACACAGCTTGAAAAAGGCTTTCCTTACAACTGGTGGCAAATATGAAAAAAAACACTATTTGATCGGAATTCGTTTTTATAGACGTATATATTTTCAAGATAAGGTTGTCGGAGCCAATGGAGCTAAATTTTATGAATACCCTGAAACAACCTCTGGGCTGATTAAAGTCAGGGCATGACTTACTCACAGATTGAACCCTGAAACAACCTCTGGGCTGATATAACTCAGGGCATGGCTAACTCACAGATCGAACCCTGAAACAACCTCGTGGCTTATCTTAGTCAGGGCACGGCTAACTCACAGATAGAACCCTGAAACAACCTCTGGGCTGATCTAAGTCAGGGCACGGATAAATATCAGATCAAACCTTGAAACATCCTCTGGGCTGATCAAAGTCGGGGCACGGCAAACTCAGAAATCAAACCCTGGAACAACCTCTGAGATCCAAGTCATGGCTAACTTACCACAGAAGGAATTGAAATTAGGAGTTGAAAATGATGATACCCAAGGACTTGTTTGTCTCTACACATTATGATGTGTTGTTGTTTTTCTTTCCTTTCTTTTTAAGCTCAAGAACCTCTTCCCTCTTGGGACAAACAGATTCAAGGGTTGTGTGCTCAAGTCAACAACATCATTGAGAAGATCAACCATCACGCTCCTGACTGGGCGAATCATTACACAGAATCGCAGATGCATTCATAATAACACTCGCTGATGAGTGAGTGATTATTGATTATTGCTTCTGAAACCAGTTATCTTCTATACAGACTGTATGTTATAGGTCTTCGCCATGTCAGAGGCCAAGTAAAGACATTGGTAAATGTTAAAGTTTTTTTTATAATCACAAGCCACCGCATTGACCATGACCAACTTGTCTTGAAATGCATGTCATAGGTTTCTCAAGAGCGTTGAACTAGAGGTTATTTCCACCATATTGGAGGACAATTGTGCCCTGATAAGTGAACAACTTATCCTTTAAATCCTATTAGATATTTTAAGGTCGAGGAAAAACTTTGTCGAGGTGGCATTGCAGTCCAGTTTGGGACTGTTTAAGTGAGCGAAATAGACGCCATCTTGGAAATATACCCCCTACAGCACTGCAATGTCAACTTGACTATCTTTTTCCCTCAACCTCAAAATGACTAATAGTTCGCAAAGGGTAGTCATGTCTATTAAGTGAACATTTCTGACATGTTGGAGGACATATAGGAAGTCACCAAGTTGTATGTTATTCAGTTTTCTTCACTGGCCCACTATCGCTTGTGGGATTTTCCTCCATGTAAATAATACTGAAATAGTAAGTAAAGATTTGAGGATTTAGCAGTGCAGTTGATCTCTATCTTTCTGGTCTTCATTGTTCTTACTTCGTTCCCGTCTCTAGGGCCGGCCTTATCCGTGCCTAATTGTATAAACACAAAACCTGATCCTGAATCCGTAAGAAACTATAAACAGATCTTCATACTCCGTTGGGAATTCAAAAGTACGTTTATTATCGTTAAGTTGGAAGACCTTCTCTCGTGGAGTATAAAAAGTAGATCGAAATATATTGTTTTTATTTCAATTCATAAAAGTTGGCAACACCAAAAACTGAATTTCGGGTCTACCAAAACAACACACTGCAATTCTTTCTTCTATTAACGTTCATCTTTTTTTCGTTATCATTCTACTTTGTCTGCTTTTTCCTTGCTTTAAACTTATAATTTAAGGCTAAACATTAAGTGCAACGTTTGCGAATGCAACTACTTTTTTTCTGGTTAATCTCGTGTGGGAAGTATCAACAACTGATAAATATATGAATAAAATATAGTAGATGAGTAAAAAATGTTGCCTCAGATATGCCCTCAGGAAATCCTTAGAAAATGCGTGCAATTCTAAGGAGATTCGCTTCACGAAGCTAAATGGTTTCAAGCCTATCACGACCAACTAGGCCCGCGCATTGTGTCATAGTTTATCCCCACTAAGCTGTTGTGATTTTTGAAAGAGTTTGTGGTCTGTGTCGACCATTGAAAACATCGCTAAACTTTATCCAAGACAATTTTGTAATGAGTATTATAGTCTCGGACAATATTTTAGTTTAGATTTTCCGTGAGAATTTGCTGCGAAAATTCCCCTTAGAAACCAATGTTCCCCAGTTACTTGTTATAATATTAATTTGTCCTCTCAACAACGGCCGTATCTCAGGTACCAGGCATTTCTTTTCAGGACGGTCCTGTTCTAATATCACACCATAATCCCTTCTTAAAAGTACTCTTTTGTACAAATACACATTCTAGGTATTTAATGGATTTTTAACACCCAATTAATCATTTTTCAGGCTTAAAATAAAGAAAAATACCTTTAATTCAGACCAGGGCTAATCCCACGGACAATACGCAACCGCTAGTGGCGCTTTGAAAAACGTCAAATTCAAGTCGTTTAAAAATGGTGATTTTTAAAATTTTTCTGGTAAAAATTATGACGCCTGTTTAATTTGAAGTTTAAATTATTATTATTGGAAAAACTCTTAGATTCCTGGAGTTCAGGGACTATATTTTTGATGAGGGTTTTAGAAAGCCTTAGAGCAAGCATGACCTATCCGCCCATTACTAAATACTGAGAGCAGATGGCTGAAAACTCTCACATCGTGTTTAAAATAGAAAAGGAAAAGCACGAAGTTGAAAAGAATAATTTTGAGTAAAATCATCAAATTTAATTGATAATTTCGTTAAAAAAATCGAACTCAAACGGCTGTAATTTAAATAACGTCTGACGTCCAAGTTTGGATTTTTACAGCATTGGACTTTGTAGAAATTCTAGTTCTAGGTACTATAATCCTATAATGATTCGGTTATTTTTGGTAACTTGATGGAATGATGACAAGAACATTTTCCTTTTTTTCCCTCCTGTTAAATAAAAAAACGGAGTCCATATTGCTCTCCTGCGCGACTGACGCAAATACCACTCCGTCCACATAGTAAGCTGCTATGTTCAAACAGATTGCACATCAGTTAAAATCTTAATTTAACCCCATTAAAAAAAGTTGAAGGACTTTTTGAACTTTTTCAGTGTTGCTGTTGCTGTTTTATCTTTGTTCACTGAGGGAGCTCGCAAATCTAGAAGTTATAAAAATCGATATACACTCGCCCTGCTCTCGGTTGTAAAGGGTTGCCCGAAGGCATCAAGGATAGTTTCAATATAATTTATGATGTTTAGATTTTTTCAAATGTTTTTATATCTTATTTCTGTCTATTTTCTATCTAAAAATTTTGAGATCCAAGTTTAGTTCTAAAAATTTTTATACTGTTTTTCAGCTGTTTTTCTATTTTCGACCTTGTCTCTGACTTTTCGCCGCTGCCAGACCAAATATAGGTATGAGAATAAATATAAAAAAAGGCCACTCAAAACCAAATGCGTAGGTACCCTTTTTTTAAAACGCTCTGAGAAGATTCAAGGCCTTTTAAAAAACACTGAGTTCGTGATGGTAAGTTTTCGGAAATGCTTTCTTTACCTGTTTCACCTGTTGCGCGAGCAAACCCAACACGACAGGCTTGTGTCACGAGCTTCTATATTAGATATTCTACACTCACGCATTAAAGTTTGATCTTCGCGCAAAGCGCGCGCTATCCTTCATATTAAAATCTAAAAATCTTCAAGTATTTTAATTTCTAAATAAGTCTTTTTTCTTTTTCTTTTTTCTTTTTTYTCAAATGAACGCGAGTGTGCGCGCGCCGTCATTGATCGAAGGAACTCAACTTTGCGGCTGATCTTTATTTCATTGTATTAGTAAAAATGTTCTCCTTTTCTATCAGTTTTTTACGCTCTTTTACTCTCTGTCCATCGGTAGATTCATAGCTGGTCCTAGTATTTTTTCGTTTGAGTAACTTGTTTAATAAATTTAGTATGTTTACTTGTGTCTTTGTGCCACGTGGGTGGGACGGGCTTAGCGCAACACGTCTATTGACTCTTCGTGCGATTAAAGCTACATCTCATGAAACAAACTCACTACTCACTACACCAACATTTCCTGTACGATGTTTCCCAGCCCGAAGTCCAAGACTTTGAAATTCCTCATACCTCGGGAGAAAATAGAAACGACAAAGCAGCCGCGAAACGTAAGGTAAGGTTGGAATATGTTGTCCGTGTGACGGCAGCTGACTGTCTTGATAATCTAAGCGGTTCATCGCTTCCGCATAGCGAATAGTCCTCTTAAGAACTGTTAATTTAAATCAACTTGGCCTTTCATGAGCACTGTACCACACATTAAAGAAAAATAAGGCGGGCACACGCACTCACACACACCAAAAAAAAAAAAAAAAAATTCAAAGTAAAAGAATTTAATATTCATTTTTAAATGGCCTTCGATCAGTTTTACGTTTCACTTTCTCGACTACTACTCTATCCGACTTTATACTCTTGGGGGGAAATTAGGGGGAAAGGAATTACGGATAATATCAAAAGTAAAACTTAAAAGGAAAGCCAAATATTAGAGGTTTTAGAATTCCTATTAAATATAGTGTGACAGTCGAGTTTTGTCACCTATCACAGTCAACTGGTATTGCGCGAACCAACCAAAATAACAAACGAACGGCTCTCATTTGAGAACACACCAACTTGGATTATAGAGACCTTGTTGTAGAGTCGGCACTTTTGACAAACAAAACAGTAGTTAAACTCCAAAAATACCGCAAGAAAAATATTATTGAAGATATTATCGTTAGGTTGTGTGTTTATTATACTATGTTACCCGTTTCGTTTGGTTGATCTACATACCAGCCGCTCCGTAAACCAATGACTCAACTGCAACCAAAAACAATAGATTATATAAACATTGGCTTTGTTCCTTGCGTTCCATTAAGTTCAGATGATCCTATTCTCGGCCTATAGAGCATTTTCCAAGGAATTAAATAGGATAACTGCGCGCGCTAGTAAGGTACGGTTCTGTAGGTGTCGCTTCTGACACCAAATTGTGCGACTAGTCGAGAAGTGTGAGGTAATTATCTCTTTCATCCCATTTCGAACGCGTAGAAACAGGTATGGAAGTATGGTAGATATAAAGCAAAGTTTTCAAGGAAGTTTTTGCCACCTGTGAATTAACATTCAAAAATAACTAAAGGCCCTGTTGCAGGTTGACATTTTTAGCTGAAACTTGCTTGAAACGGCGTTGCGAGACAAGCCGTTCGCGGGGGCGTTACACGGGACAATTTCGTTCTGAAACTTGTTCCCGACACAAGTTTCGGTTTTACGAGTAGAAAGCAGTTCTACTTTTCGTGAAACTTTCTCGCGACGAAAGTTTCACAAAGCCAAAATTGCGCCGCGTAACACCCCCTTGAAACTTTTCTCGCAACGCCGTTTCAAGCAAGTTTCAGCTAGAATTTTCAACGTGTAATAGGGCCCTAACTCAAACTTCGATCAAATGCAACAATCATATTTCCGACTCGGACATAGCAAACCAATCAGTTTTCCAAGTGGAATTTAAAATGTGTCTTATAGTTTTTGTTTTAAGAGTACTACAAGGATTATGAGGCAATTATATTTTATTTTCTCAAGGCATGAAAAAATCGAAGCAATTGATTTATGTTCCGCGATGAGAGTTTTAAATTATGAGATATTGTAGCTAATGTGCTGAGCTTTTGGGACATAGCAACCTCACC